GAAATGGCAATGTTGTGAACAAGAGCTGCTGCACCTATGGCACTGCCGCAACCGGTGGCTCTGGTGATTTGAACAACTACAATAAAGAGGTTAACAACCCAGATCTCAGAGTCACTTCGTACTCCGATGACGCCAAAGGCCGGGGTCGGAGTTGTCCACTTACACGGAAAACACCAACACTGGAAACAGCCAGACATTTATCAGTTATCAGCCAGACTTTGTTGAATGCCATCTCCCCCAACTCCATGCCTTTATTCACTACACCCTCCAACCCCATTTCTGTTTCGTTCGATTTGTATTACCAACTGAATAAATGGAAAGTACATCCATGGTTGAGGAATAGAGAGGCACGTGATTTCCATCACCGAAACAGGAGGAGTTTAGAAGGAAAAGGATAAGTTTTCTTTTTTTTTTTTTTTTTTTTCTTTTGGTGGACCCTTCTGAGTTACCTTAAGCTAGTGTTTTGCTGACACTTTTTTGCTTCTTGAATACTCTTGGTTGACATTGTAACTTGCTTCGATAGTTGTGCAGAGCTACTCCTTTGTTTGTCTTTTTGTGAAAGCTTCTCTTCTTTGTGGGCGAATAGACCCTTTTCATCACATTTGCTTCTGCAACTCAAGTGTAAACTTCTGCAACTTAAGTGTAAATTCATCAAATCTGTTTCTACAACTCAAGTGAATAGGCCATGATGTCTTCACTCGTTTTCTCCTCCCTCCAATCAACCGGATCAACATGGAAATGAAGCTTTTTATTCGATTCCCACAGACGGCGCCAATGTTGTTGTTGAAAACCTTCAAAGCCTTCCTTGCTCAGATCTTCTTGTCCAATAAACCTGCAAAGCCCCGAGGGTGGTTCTCGGGGTAAACACTCCGATGCTTAAGTCAGCAATAGTCTACACTTAGAACTCTTTAGAAAGAATGGAGAGTATTAGAGAGAAATACTAAAGGAAGAGTCCCGTACCTTTGGGGGGTGTGGGGTATTTATAAATCCTTTGGGAATACTGGACATATGTTTCCCTTCTGTTGGTCCCTTTGGATCTATTTGAGTGTATATGAACTTTATAGTGACTTATGCATGTATTCTTTTGTATTTGGGCCTCATGGGCCTTCACAATGTTTATGGGCTAGTTATATTACTACCCTTACAAAATTCCTTCCAATCATGAATTGATTTTTGTTATAGTGACGGTTAGCTAAAAGCCTTTTCTGAGTTGCTATTGGCTTAGAAATGTACTTCTTGTGAATCCACTTATTGCAAATTGATTGGAGTTGCAACCACTATTATATATTGTGCAAGGTCTATGGAGTGGAATAGATGCGAAAGCATGGCATTCACCTTACAATGTTATTATAGTTGACCTAACGGTCAGAGTATCTTTTGTATTCTAATTTGATAAAATTTATTAATTTAGTTGGTAAATAAAAATTATTGAAAAATGAGTGTCAGCATAGCTAGGTTCATAGAGAAGTCATGGGTGTCGCCTTAGAGAAATGTTGGCTCTTTGCATGCTTATATCTTTATTAATGTTCAAATAATATTTCAGAGACAAACACTGCATACCAAATTACATATGAATCGTCCATTTTTTAAATTAAAATTGCTAAATCTTATGCATGAATACATTGAATATCTACGAAATAAATATTAGAACCTGAACCCTTATATCATGTAAAAACTATTCATGCAGCATGAAATCATCTCCTTTTATTGGAGCTATGTAGGTGATGTTATTATTACATTTTTAATTATTAATGTCATATTTTTTTATTTTAATTAATTATTATACCTTTTAATTTATTAACAAATAAAAAATATAAATTTTTGAGAAAAAATATACTGTAATGATATAATCATTTTAAAAAAATATGACATTAACTATTTAGAATGTGATAATAATGTCACCCGATCAATGCCAACAAAATAGTTTAATTTTGAGATAACAATAATTGAACAGACTATCATTTTTCATCTGCTTAAAAGTTGTCATAATGCTTAATTGGTACTCCCTAAGTTCCATAATATTAGTTGTTCTAAAGAGAAAAAATTGTTCCTAAATAATTGACGTTTTAGCATATTAAGATTGTATTAATTTCTTTTTACCAAATTTACCCTCACTTGTACTTTTTTATTAATTCCTTTCCCCTCTTCAACCACCCAATTTATTTTTTTACATTCAAGGGTATGATGGTATTTTAGACTTAAAAACTCTTAATTCAAGAGTAATTAATTACCTTTCTTAATTCTCATGCACATCACTAAAACGTCAAATAAATTGGAATAGTGGGAGTACTAATTAATACAGCTGCTTACTTCATCATTAAAGTTATAAAACTGTCTGTTATTTTGGTAAGGCAAAACATGCAGAGAATTGGGTGAATCAGGCCCTATTTCCCAGCATGATACCAAGATTCTTGTAAAATTAATTAAAGTAAATACATGAAATTGAGGCCACAAGGCCCACAACTACATGTATACCCTAGATCTTATTATTGTGGTCGGAATAAAAGAAATTAATTAATGG